CGCTCGGCTGCTTTTGGCCGTGTGCTCGAAGCCGACCATATGTTTCCGTCGGAGGAAAGCGTGAGCAACGTTGGGGAGAAGGTGGCTCTGGTGATCGTTGATCTCTTCTCCGGTCTGAGCATGGCCTATCCGGCCAGAGACAGGTCAGAAGAATCCTGTTACAACTCATTGAAACACTTCGGTGGCCATAGGTTGAACGGTGATACCGGTGTCATTTTTAAATCAGATGCAGCCGGTGAATTGACCGGAGCGGCATCCAGGCTGTGCTGGACAATATCCCCGAGCATCCCCAGGGATTGGCCTCACGCGGCCCACGTCGAACGTGAGGTGAGGACGTTGAAAGAGTTGCGCAGGCCAGCACATCTCCAGGCCGGCTTCAGCAAGAAGATGTGGCCGATCTCCGTTGTTTATACTGCAAAAGCTCGTGCCTTTTGGTCGCCTTGTGTGATTCGCAAACATGAGCGTGGGACGGAGATTGAGGAGCTCAAGACTGGCAAGACCCGTTGGGAGGTTTGCACAGGTGAGCCCTTTCTTGGAGTGAAGTACCCTCTTGGTGCACTTGTTTTCTACAGGGCCAAGAGCGATGGAATGGCCGCTCCAACTACAAGACCAGGCTTGTTTGCGGGATGGCGTGTTGACTCAGGCTTACGATACCGCAATGTCGTACAAGTTGTTGACTATGAAGCTGTCCGTGCAAGAGCGCATTTGCATTGGAGTCGCAAGGACTTGCATGAGAAGGAGGTGTTTTTCCCTCCTGTTGAACACATTGAGTTTCCCTTGTCCAACGCGGCAATGAAAGCGTTGAAGGAAATGTCTGACCCTGATGTTGAGGTGAAGAAGAAGATCTATGACAGATCTCTTGAGTCGGGCGTGCTCCCATATGACATTGACATTGATGCTTTTCCGGAAGATACCCCAGTTGCACCCCCATGTCATGCATACATTACTTTTTCACGTTTGTTGGAGCATGGTTTTACGAAGGGTTGCCCTGGATGTGGTGGTGGCCACTATCGCCACAACAAGGCATGTCGCGAGCGATTTGATGCCATCTTCCCTAGAGAAGCTGTAGCGCCGCCTACACCGGCGCCAGATGTCGGAGCGCCAAAGACACCTGGACCGCTTCCGATGCCTAAGAGTTCAGAGAAAACTTCTTCTTCCCCTTCCACAGGAGCAGCAGAAAAGGAACATTGGGTTGAGAAGGAGACCACTGAAGTTCCCGAGTACTCTATTGATGAGCTTAGTGAGGGATATGTCCCACCGAAAGATGTTGCGGCTGGGGTGTATGCCCTGGTGACAAGACAGCTCACCCGGAACGAAGTGTTGTCCCGACCTGATGCACTGCAGGCGATCCGCAAGGAGTTCGACGGTGTTGGTTCCATGGGGACATGGGAGCTTGAGTCGGTTGATGAAGAGTTCCGCGTGAAGGAGGCTGCATTGCAGAGTGGAGAGACTATTCACATTGCAGATTTGCTTGCTATTTGCAGCGAAAAGCACGTTGAATTGGCTCCAGAGCTTCGTGCTCTGAAAGGTCGCGTGTGCTATCGTGGTGATTCTGCAAAGACGGCTGAAGGAAAGCTAGCACTTTACCAGACGTTAGCTGCGTCTCCTGCGTCGATAGTTGCAGCCAATAGCGTGATCTCTTTTGGTCTTTTTGAGGGACACAAGTTGTCGTCGGCAGACGCCGTCAAGGCTTATCTCCAATCGGAGTTGAAAAGTTTCTGCCACATACATCCGTCTCCCAAGAGAGTTGTGGCCTGAGTCTTGGTTCACCCCAAGCGGCTACCCTCGATTCAAAAGACCAATCATTAGATTGCGCAAATCGCTATACGGACACCCAGAAGCTGGGGCCCATTGGCAACAGTTTCTTGAAGAACAGTTGTGTCTCTTAGGAGCAGTTAAGGTTGAAGAGTTTGCATCCACCTTCACCATCCCCACCTTCGGAGGATTGGCATTGGTTGTCTACGTGGACGACTTGATTCTCTCAGGACCAAGTCAGTGGCACGAGCCTTTCTGGGAGGCGTTGGGTGAAAAGGTGTTGATTGATGACATTGGACCGTTGGGTCGCTTTCTTGGTCGACACCACTCCACTGTCGAGGTTGACAACACAGAGTTCTTTGGCTTTGACATGCGTGCTTACGCTGAGGCTACTGTTCAAGAGTACTTGAGGGTTGCAAACAGCCCGAAAATGAAGGTAGTCGCATCACCTTTTCTCAGCAAGGGGTTCGTTGGAGCAGATGAGCGTGGTGCTCTGGCATCTTCAGCCAGCAGCATTCTGATGAGGCTGATGTGGTTGGCACGCCTTGCTCGTCCCGACCTGCTGAGAGTTGTGACTTGGTTGGCAACCATGGTACAGTCCTGGACGCAAGCTTGTGATGCGTACCTGTACCGTGCCATGTGCTACCTCGAGTGCACCAAGAACGCTATGTTGCTTGGGCATGTGCGTGATGCGCCGGAGCATGCGTTTGTTGAACTTTTCGCAGACGCAGACTACTGCGGAGATGATGAACACACCCACAGTACCACTGGTGGATGGCTACAGTTGTCTGGCCCGCGGACATCGTTTCCTTTGGCATGGCTGTCGAAGAAACAGACGGCTACGTGTCGAAGCACGACGGAGGCGGAGACTGTCGCATTGTCGTATGTGCTCTTTGAAGAGGGTTTGCCATTAGTTGAGTTGTATTCCGCAATGCTTGGTCGTCCTGTGTTGTTGAGGCTTCGCGAAGACAACACTGCATGCGCGAAAGTCGTGACTGCTGGATACTCCAAGAAGTTGAGGCATCTCAAGCGCGTACATCGCGTGCGTTTGGCTTCGGTGAAGGAGCAGTTGGATCGCGATGACGTGGAGCTGAGCCTTGTTGGAACAAGCGACCAGAAAGCCGATGCTTTCACAAAAGCAGTTGAGCCTGCACTATGGCCCAAGACCCTCCAAAACCTTGGAGTGCATCTTGATGGGTACACCATCAAACACACCTCAGGCACTGGCCTGAAGCTGGACAAGCAGATGGCATTGCAGCCAGATGCACCAACGACAGACGTAGCGACAGGACCTCAGGGCACGACAGGCCCTACCCAGCCAGGGTACAAGAAACGGCAGAAACACAAGCCGAAGAGAATACCTCCATACAGTGTGCCACAGAACCTTTCCGAAACAGCTGGATAGCCCGGGATTCAAGACTGATCCCAAGCCGTCGAGCAGCTCAGGAGTCAGAGGGGGGAGAAGAAATCCCTCAGCTAGAAACGTCCCCAAGAAGTACTGAGCTTGAGTGAGATTGAGGTTGTTGCACACTTCATGTATAGATGACACATCATGTATAGTTGGTGTCTTGAAATTGTCATGTAAAGACTTGCATCACCAGTAATCGGCTTTGCCGTTGCACTGCGGACGCCAAACCTGTATTTGGCTCAAGAACTTGAAGAAAAGGCGCCAGGGCCGTGAATGTCGTTCGAGATCGTATCGACCGCTGCCTTTGCATAAGAAAGTCAGGTTCCAGAGTTTAACTTTTGCCTTGTTTTCGCCTCTTCTCAAGTAGGTTAGCCTTGATCCAGTGCGTTGTCTGCCCAAAAGCGTGGTTTCATACTTTTGGGGTTGCCGTGTAAATTTTCCCAGGTGATGTCCATTCTTTTCAAAAGGGCTTGCCTTGGTTGTGTCCATTCTGTGCTCTTTGTGTCTTCTTGTGGGC